AGTAAAAAAGAGACATAAAGGAGAGAAAAGAGAGTATATCAAGAGCAAACTTCAGCTGTTTCAGAATTTAGTCTAAGTCAGTGGTTCTCAACCCAAACAGATTCAATTCCAGGAATGGTATTGCCAAGAATTACATTTTCTAAAATGGTGACAAACACTTGGGAAAGTTCAAAACTATCTTCCCCCAGTTGCAGACCTGGAATTCACTGTAGTTTAAAGTTGTGCCAATACTTTGTGTTTATATGCAAAACAGTTGGATTCTAGGTTTATATAATCTAAACAGGTAATTCACCCACATAAACATCAACAACATTCCAAAGTCAAAAAAGACAAATGATAATGCTTCTTTGCGTGAAATTATTCTGGGAACTGCGTGACATCAGTATATCCCAGCTGCTCGTGAAATGCTGGTCACATCCCTCAATCACAACCCAAAAAGTTCTTGCAGAGATATACTGATCTCGATGATCTAAAAGATCTTACTCCAAGAAATAGGAAAGAAAAAACTTTTCCTTCTTCTACTTCATCTTCCCTCCTACTTCAGATAGTCCCTAACAACCAAGACCCCCATCTAGTGAGCTTACACCATATATGGCTTTTTTGGGCTATTTCGGGACCCTACTCAACATTATAACACTATTAGAGGCCTGGTGCATGAATTCGTGCACCAGTGGAATTCCTCAGCCTGGCCTGCAGGATCGGGCCGAAACTGGCTCTCTGACATCCTCCGAGGGGTCCTGGATTGCAAGAAGGTGCAGGCCAGGCCGAGGGACCCCACCAGTACATGATCGGGGCCGGGGAGGGACACAGAAGGTTGGCCATCTGGGGAGGGACCGCGGGAGGGCTCCAGGGCATGTCTCACTCAGTCCCGATTGGCCAGACCCCAAGCAACAAGCTAACCTACCAGTTGGATCGTCTGCCCTCTGGTGGTGAGTTCACATCATAGCGACTGGTCGACTGGTCGACTGTCTGCCCCCGGGTGGTCAGTGCACATCATAGCGAGCGGTTGAGCAGCCTTAGCATATTATTAGCTTTGATTGGTTGAACAGCCAACTAGACAACCAGACACTTAGCATATTAGACTTTTATTATATAGGATTTCTACTGGACTATACACTCCAAATTTCAAACTTAGAAATAAAGTTTGAGAGCATAAACTTCCATAAGTCAGAGACTTAAATATACTGGCCTCTCACCATCAATGTTCTAATTTTTCAAGTGATGAGATAGATGAGATCCAAGCTACATATGACCAATGTACTATAAAGACTGATAATACATGTAAAATAACAATTGCTATAGGCAAGTAAAACAAATACTTTATAATACATCAAGTCCTTGTTTTTATGGCAAGAAGGTAAAAACTAATTAATAATACACTAATATATATTATTTTAAACATTAGATTTCCCCTTTACTATAGATATTGAGTCTATTGCTTATAAATACTGGAAAGTGTTCTTAGTATCTACAATCATCACCAATAGCAAGTACTTGCCTCATCACACAAATATGAAAGATCCCTTAATGATATAGGGTGAATTGGATTTCATTGCCCTTCAGACCTCCTCACCCATTCATCCCTGTACTTCTCAAGTCTAAGGTTCCCCGAGTTCCTGCCCGCACTCCTGCACCCACTTCACCCACTCAAAGCGTCCTCAAATTCTCTGGTTTCCGAAGCAGCCAAGGGACACAATCCCTGCCATCGTGAAGGATGCACTCCAGTGGCTGTAGAGAACTGAGCTGTGTTAAAAAGACATTTTTTCAGTGATTAATGCTATACTTACAGATTATTACTCAAGCAGATTCTATATTAGGTGAGGGTAACTAAATGACTGCTATTTTCTGTTCACTCTAAGAATACAGTATATAATTGTGCTATCTTCTTAGACTCTCTAAATAAATATATCCTCTAAGGACCCAACCTAGTGTATACATTTCAACTATTTCACCTATGCTGAGGTCTGAAGGGTCCCGGGTTCGATTCCGGTCAAGGGCACATGCCTGGGTTTCAGGCTGGATCCCCAGTGTGCAGAAGGCAGCTGATTAATGATTCTCTCTCATCATTGATGTTTCTATCTCTCTCTCCCTCTCCCTTCCTCTCTGAAATCAATAAAAATATATTACTAAAAAAAAAATACTAACGAGTGGAGGCACTGATCAGGAACTAAGAGGGCTGAGCGCACAGTCAGACTCTCTTATTCTCCATAAGGATTCTGAAATTTTCTATGCCTCTGAATTTCACCTAATGTTTGTATTTTCAAAATACCTACCATGTTTATCAGCTATGTCTCTGTCACTCAAGGTCATTATTTCCTGCAACTATTTGGAGTAAATAATTAAGACTTCTAATTGGTTTCTAAAATAGCCAGTCAGGTGGGTTGCTGTGATTCACACTGCGGTTAGTGTTCCTAACTTCTCTGGCCATGTTATAATAGCTACTCTTTATTAAACCCTATTTACATGCTAGGTACTACAATAAATACTTTATCCCCAATCCTCAAAAAAATCTGCTGGGTACGTAGTATTCTTCCTTATTCTCATCTTTTACAGATAAGAACACTAAGGCTCAGAAAGGCTGCCCTTTTCATTAAAGTGGCAGAGCTGGAAGGTGAATCTGGCTTGTTTGGCTCCAGAGTCCTTGCTCTTTCCATGAACCATAGTCCCCTGACTTACTTCACAATCATATTTCCTCTTACTTGTGTAACAGAAGGTCATTAGCTAAGGTCATTAGCTAAAACAAGAAAAATCTAATTTAGTGAAAAATCAATTTGGATATTTTTAAAATGATCACTTTTGTTTCTAAGTGAAGGTCTTCTCCTGGGTCTATTTAAATGAAAACTGTGCATTGAAGCTACTTGTATTACACAGCAATCACCCAAACCATAGGTTAAAGCCCTTAAAAGACATTTCTATTTCTTCCCTGCTGAATCCCCAGTGCCCAGGTCAGAGCCTTGTCTAGAGTAGGCACTTAACAAAAATATTTTAAGTACCACTTCCCTCAAATCTTGTTTACCAAAATACTAATACGGAAGATGCATTCCAACAAGACACTTTAATATCTGAAACTTTGTGACTAAAATTAAACATACTCTGGAAGTCACTGGGATATCTTTCCTGCTATCAGACACTTCCCTCCAAGTCAAGGGGCACTGTCATCATCAGCAACAAGTAATTATTAAACGCCTACAAATGTTTACTTAGCCTAGTAACTCAGTCTCTTTCCTCTCTCCCGCTCAGGTTTGGCAAGCCACAGCAGCTAGTTCCCCTCCAGGCAGGCCAGCCTCCGCAGGTGCAGTGGAGACCTCAAAGAGGCACAAATGTCACACATGCTTAGCCAGTTATTCCAAGTCAAACAAATACAAAGGCCCCAGGAGTTTGACCTTTCCTTCAACCAGGCAAATGTCCCAGACCTCTTCCTGGAGCCCTGAAACTGCAGCCCTGATTAATTTCCTCCTTCTACTCCATCAACCACCCAACCCCGAGGAGACCAGCAATTTCTCCCAATGTCTGCCATATCTATTCCTACTTCATCTAAAAGAGAGAGTTTGTTCACTAAGGATTCACTGAATATGTTAGCATACACTATTAAATTTCCTCTTTAAAAACCCTGTCCTCCTAGGGATATGACGTACACAGAATATGTGTGTACTCCAGGGGAAAGTACTCCAGTAGGAAGCTGGGTTCTCTGGCACTACACCTCACCTCTCACTGCTCCTCTAGACTGTTTCCTCAGCCGTAACATGAGAGGTTGAACTAGTCAGGGCTTATTCACCTGGGTCCAAATGCCTTGCGGGGTTCAGGCATGTGCTTTAGGGGTTCATACCCCCCACCCAGGAACATATATAAAAAAAATTAACTGTTCACAAAATTAACTGTTGGATTTTTCTGGAGAAGTCCAACTTATACTTGTCGCTGTCACACAAGCAGGGGCCCAAAAATTAACCATAGTTCATGTTTTATTGAGTATTCACTATGTGCAAGACACTGTGCTAAGTCCTTACAGATATTAATTCATGCAACCTTCACGATAACCTTTTAAGTGAGATACTATTATTGTCCTCATTTTACAGCTGAATAGAGTAAACCAGGACAGGCCTAGCCTCTGAAACACAATGTTTTGTTAGGTGAGATCATCTCTAAACTCTAAAATTCTGATTCTATGTTCATTCAAATTATCACTAGTCCTACTTCTATTTAAATCTTTACACAGAAACAACCGAACCCATGGAACATCCAGATGAAAACAGTACTACCTGAAAAGAATATATTAAGGGGTTAATCCTAGTAAAGGATCCAAAGGCACTTTCTAGCTCCAGCGGCCAATCTGCGTTTACTTTTATAACGTGGTGGTTAAAAGGTGTATCTGAATCTATTACTAATTAAAGTCTAAAATCAAAGTAACAGTAAATAAGTCAGAATGCCAACCAGAAGAGGGGACGCAGTGGCAGCCAGAGTGTCCACATACTGCTCACCAACACAGTGAGAAGACCAGGGAGGACAGTCAGTGCAAGGCCGCTGTCCCGGCTGGACTGGCTCCTCCCCCTACTCCCACCTGAAAACCACTGGCCGCTGCCATCACTCTCCACCCGGGGTACAAAGCTGGCACAGGGTCTTCCGGCGTCACCAAGCCCCGCTGGGAGTAAGGCGGGGACATTAAGCCAAAGCCCAGCCCCCAATCTTTGTGGACACCAGTTCTGACAACCCCCAACAGTAACACCGGGTCAGCAGTTATCCAGTTACACCTGCGAACTGTATCGCCTACCGCTCTTCTGCCCACATCACTGAGGGACACAACGGTGCTTAAAAAATGGCTTCAGAGCAGAGGTGGACGCGGGCAGTTCTTTTCACAGGCTGTCAAGAACCGCCACATAGTCCAGGGAAGGCTACTGAAACTTTATGCCCAACTCCCTTGACCTGTCCCCATTAGTCCGTGTAATGAGAAGAGAAGCAACGGAGGGAGCAGGGAGGTCAAAGGAGCGGCCCGGGTGCAGGGCTACCTTCTCCGAGGGTGATGCAACAGGGTCAGCCAGCCGACCCGGAGGAGGAGCTGGGCGCTCCGGGAAGGAGAAAACCTGCGTTGGAGTTAGAAATCTGGGTGGAAAGCGGGTTAGGGAGGACGGGGTGCGAGGGTTATTCAGAACCGCCGGGGAGGCAGGGTCTAGTCTGGAGCCGTCCGAGGAAGGAGAGCCGCTCGGAGGGCTCGGTGGGTGGGTACCCGGAGGGGAGAGGGAGGGGCCGGAGGGAGGAAACACAGCCCGGGCGGGCAGGAAAGGGTGCAGTCGTGGGGGCCTCGGAGGGACGGTCACGTGCAAGGGAGGTCGGCGTGACCTGCTCGGCGGTGTGGGAGCCGAGGGAGGGGTAGCGGCCGGGGATCCGTGAGGGTCGGGGGAGAGAGGGGCTGGTAGGCTGCAGGGGACGTGGGGGTGCCGGACACCAGCGCCAGGGCCCAGGGCGACGGAAGAACAGAGTGGTGACAACGGTCGGGGCCAGCGGAGCGGGAAGAAGACTGTCCAGCTCGAGCGGAGGCG